AAAAAAAAAAAAGCTTATGTGGTGTTGAATTGGTTTTTCTTTCTCTGTTTGTCAAATGGGAGTTGGATTTTATTTGAATACATTCTAAAGGGCCCCAATGGTTCACAAAATCTTTCTACACAGGGAACGCTGTGGGGCAAATTCCTTAAGCAGCTCTTTGGGATAAGTCTTATCCGGATGGGAGTGATTTCTCCATTCTGCCTCCTTCTAATTCTTTCCATTCCGCTTCATGTGTACTGCAGAATAGTTGTTGCATGTGATGGTGAGCCCAACAATGAGAAGAAGAAAGCTCTGGAAGCCCACTTTACCATCTCGGTACTGATTCAGGTCTTTCCTTATTTTGTCCATGGCTAAAGGGTCTTTTTGGTTTTCCAAAAATCTAGGGAACTCCTTTTCCATGAGCACCCTCAGATCCTCCTTCATTAAGTAGCATTTATCTCCAGCAAATTTGTGAAATGTGAACATCATTGTTTCCATGACAAGTTCCATTTGAGATGGAATTTGATGAGGCCTGTTGGAGCCTTGAAAAGGAGGAATGGAGCAGATGCTCAGCGACTTGGAACGCAGGGTGAGTGAGGTGAGTATGGCAGATGAGGTGCCTTAGTTGCTGCTGTTGTTAAGGTGCTTTAGTAGGTGAGGGCATTGCTTAACTTTTTTTTTTTTAACGATTTATTAAAAATTCTGTGATAGTTTACACAGGAGAACATTAGCTTTACATTCACCCTATTGTATATCATTTCATTGCCATGGTTATAATCCCCTCCATGCATCATCAACCAACCAAAGGGTATAACCTGCAAGCCTGCCCCCCAGGTCGTCAACACACAACCCCTCTCCCTCTCTGGGTCTAGGGTCCCCAGCTGCTCCATCTCTCTATGTCATCACCTCTGCCTTCATCTCTGGCATCACTGTTTCTCTGGGTAGGATCCCACACTCCACTCTTTTCCCTTGGTCGCAGGGACCTCTGAAACTGGACTGCAAAGTCAATCACTCCCCTTCTTTTGCTACAAAAGGTCTACCTTTACATTTCCAACCCCTCCACAGTCAGTACTGATAACAATTATTCACTATTTTACAACAAGAGACCTATCTGCATCTCCTTTCATCAGCCCCGCCCAGACAGATTGGATAATACTCAGTGGAGATTCTGCCTTCCTCCACACCCTCTGAATCTAGGCTCCCTCTTGAAAGCTTGTATGCCACTCACTTCTTTCTTTTGTAGCCTCCCCATTTTGGGTTCCCATTCATACGTACCCTGTATATCGAGAGGGTGGAAATGATCCTCGCTGTAAATATTTGTCCCCTCTTCTGAGCTACTGCATCCATAGGTGTAGGTCAAGTTCATCAAGTTGTATCAGCTTACTCTTTCTTCTTTCTTCTTCTAGTTGAGTTCTGATCATCCAGTCATTGAAGCCAGGTCAAGTGGGTATTACCTGCAAGTGTGGTGTTCTTATGCATATGCCCTCTCTTCTTATGAGCTGGATGCTTCACTCTCCACTCTAGTCCTCTGTGGCTATGCCACTGACTCTGGGCCCAAAAGTGCCAGGGTCTTGCCATACTGCTGGCCAACCATGTCTCCACCCAGGTTCACAGGCGTCTACTGAACATTATAGGCCTTAGCTCACAGGTTCATTGCTATTTTTCCCTCAATTCCTGTTATTGGTGACCAACGTGGTCACCAATCAGAGCTCATGTCTGCTCGTGTATTCCCATTGAGTTTAAGTCTTGGAAGGAGGTTTGCCCTAAGGGGACCTGACCACTTGCCTTGATGTCTCCTGGGTGAGCAACTTGCTTGTTCTGTAGTAATTAGTTGGACTGTCATTATTGTTTTGTGTTTTTCCTGTCAGTCTTTCTTTCAAGAAGTATCTTCTGTTCTTCTAGCTGCTCCAGGCTGGTCTTCTTGTCCATTCAAGTGGAAAATTTCCACCTCAGAAGATTCTGGATGGGGTTCAGTATTCCACCTGTGTTCTTATGTAATACAGAGGCTCTGCAGGAAACCTCTGATTGACTTTCAACTTGGTCTTCTATCTTCAAAGCCAATAATGTAACATCTTCATTTCTCATTCACTTAAAGCTGACATTTATAAATGCTGTGGTTTTAAGGATCCACCAGAGAACCCAGAATAATCTCCACAGCTCTTAGTCATATCCACAAAGACTCTTTTGTCACACAAGGCAAAATGTATGAGTTCTGGGAATTATGATCTGGATAACTTTGGGATTCATTACTTCCTCTATGGTGAAAGGATGTGAGACCTGGAGCTCCTACAGTCACCTTGCTCTCATGGGGAAAGTATGTGTGAGAAGTCTGCACACAGGGGAGGGTGCTAGGGAAGTGGATTTTCACCATAGAGATATGCCTGGTGTCTTCATGTCCTGGACCAAGTCCTGAGAGAACCCAACCACATCTCATGAACTTTCAGTGATATGAACTGATAAATATGCCACATGTTGCATATGCCAGTTTGAATTGTATTACCTGGACATTTGAAACACTACTGGAACATTGAGGTCAAGAATCATAGGACTGAAAGCTTGTTGTCTTCCTTGAAGAGATGAGAAAATAAGAGATAAGTGTAGGCAAATGGAGACTCGACAATCCCTTCTGTGTCATAGAAGTGTGCTCCATAGAGATTTCAATTTTTCAGGCTAATAATAGATAATAATTGCCAGGATTTTCTTCCATGGCACTTCTAGGTAGATTCAAGCTGCCAACTTTTGAAGTTTGGAATGTTTCACCATTTGCATCACATGAAGTTGCCATGAATCAAACATTGTTGTCAGGTGCCATCGAGTTGGAACTGACTCATAGTGACCCCATGCACAGCAGAACGAAACAATGTCCAATCCTGGGCCAATCTCATTACCGCTGCCACACTTGAGTCCATCAATGATGCCACCTGGCCAATCCATCTCATTAGAGGTCTTCCTCTTTTTCTCTGACCCTCCACCTTACCCAGCATGACATCCTTCTCAAGCAACTGTTTCCTCCAAACAATATGTCCAAAGTAGAAGAGACGAAGCTTAGCCATCCTGGCCTCCAAGGAGCACTCTGGCTGCACTTCTTCCAAAACAGATCTATTGGTTCTTTGGCAGTCCATGGCACTTTCAGTATTCTCCTCCAACACCACAACTCAAAGGCATCAATTCTTCTACGATCTTCCTTATTCACTGTCCAACTTTCGCATCCATATGAAGCTATTGAAAACACCATGGCCTGGGTCAGGCACACCTTAGTCCTCAAGCTGACACCTCTGCTCTTCAATACTTTAAAAGTTCCTGTGCAGCAGATTTGCCCAATGCAATACGTCCTCTGATCTCTTGACTGCTGCTTCCACGAGTGTTGATAGTTGATCCAAGAAGAATGAAGTCCTTGACAACTTCAATCTTTTCTCCATTGATAAGAATGTTGTTTATTGGTCCAGTGGTGAGGATTTTTGTTTTCTTGACGTTGAGATGTAATCCATATCGAAGGCTGTACTCTTTGATCTTCATAAATAAATGTTTCAAGCCCTCTTCACTTTCAGCGATCAAGGTTGTATCATCTGCATATCGCAGGTTGTTAATGAGTCTTCCTCCAATCCTGATGCCACATTTTTCTTCATAGAACCCAGCTTCTCGTATTATTTGCTCAGCATACAGGTTGAATAAGTATGGTGAAAGAATACAACCCTGTCTCACACCTTTGCCAATTTTAAAACATTCAGTGTTCCCATGTTCTGTTCGAACAACTGCTTCTTGGTCTAGGTACAGATTTCTCAGAAGTACAATTAAGTGTTCTGGAATACTCATGTTTTTCAATGTTGTCCATAGCTTGTCATGATCCACACAATCGAAAGCCTCTGCATAATCAATTAAACATAGGTAAACATCCTTCTGGTATTCTCTACTTTCAGCCAAGATCCATCGGACATCGGCAATGATATCTCTCGTTCTACAGCCTCTTCTGAATCCAACTTGAACCTCTGTAAGTTCTCTGTCAATGTATGATTGTAGCTGTTTCTGTATTACCGTTAACAAAACTTTACTCGCTTGATATATCAAAGAGATTTTCTGATGATTTCCACATTCTGTTGGGTAACCTCTCTTTGGAATGGGCATAAATATTGATCTCTTCTAATCTGTCAGCCAGATAGTTGTCTTCCAAATTTCTTGGCAGAGACGAGTGAGTGCCTCTTATGCCGCCTCACTTTCTTGAAAGATTTCAAACAAACTCTATGGTAATGAGTTTGGTTTGGGTTTTATGGAGAGATGATATTTCCAGATGGGCAAGATAAAATGAAAGCCTTCATGTCTTTATGTTCTTAATAGGAGATACATGGCCAACTATGGGATGTGTGCTTCAGATTTTCAGTAAGTACTCAGGGAAGGTGAAGAGATTTTGGAAGTGTCAGAATGGGGTTCACTAGTTAATCAACTATAAATGAAGTAGGAACAGTCACCTTCTAAGCAAGGCCTTTCCTGGTTGTTCAATGAGTAGAGTTCATTAGCTTCCCATCATGGTGACTGCTTAAAGTCCTTCATGACCCTTCAGTGATTATACGGTGGTCTTCTCTCCATGCTCTGCTCAGCAACATGCTAGGTACTATGGAACCTATCTCAGGCATGTGTGGAGTTTCTGCACTTTTGTTAAGACACCATGGTCTAAAGCCATGCGTCTCTGAAATTATGTTTTGATAGAAAACTATCATCAGTGGAGTTTAGCAGCTTTGGAGGAAGAATAAAGAAACCATCAGGCTAGGAAGGTCCAGGTTGGGGTTAAGCATGACAGACATAGCAGATAGGCAGTAATAGGTGAGCATCTATGGTAGCAAAGATGACTGTGGCAACAGGCTGTCTATGGAGTCCCACAGAATTGATGGTCTGAAAAAGCAAGAACAGCATGGTTTGACCGGTGTACTCCAGTTTTGCTCTCAGGTTGATTTTTAATAACTTCACGAACTTGGCATGCAGAAAAATCAAGTCTAGACAAGTGCATTATTTTGATGGTAATGCAGATGCTGGACAAACAGGAAGAGTTCCATGTTGAGATTCACTACAATGTGGGGAATTATGCCTGATTATTATCCTGGTGAGGACTCGGAGCTCTTAGTTGAGCTCTGGAATCTGGGATCACAGTGTGTAAGTGCTGTGACAGCTGTTTGCTGCACAGGAGGCGATAGTTCATATCCCAGCTCATAATCGTGAGGAATTTCATTTTCCTGAGAAAACCCAGGAGAATAAGTATCAATAAGAAAAAGGCTGAAGCCTCACATGGTGATGAGGGAATACTGCCAGAAGACTGTGAGGCGGCTGTCTCAGATCCTTCATTCCTCATTTTGCAAAGGGACATCCAGATAATTAAGGATTGAGGGGTCCATAAATCTCTACTCCCTCTGCATCTTCCTGGCATCATCATGGTGGGGGCAGGGGCATGTACTGTTGCGACTGGCGTGATAATAAATGTGATCATGGAGCTAAACCCAGCTGCATGACCTCTGGAAAAAAGGAAACCAAGTACAATAGCAATAAATAAAAATCAAGCCTAGAGAAGTGAGAGAAATCAATGCAGCCTGTTCACAGCTGCATTGATATCATGCAGTTTGCCCAATCTCAGAGTCATTTATAGTGCTATTTGTGTATGTGTGTACACACCTATGCATGCATGGTGTGAGGACATAGGTGCCTATGTGATCACACACCTGTATGTGTGCAGGAGAAAGCACACATATGCATTGTGCATGTTTGTGTGTGTGTGTAAATGTGGGAGTACATATGTGTGCTGTGTAAGTGTACATGTGTGTATGTGTTGGTGTGCCTTCAGGTAGGTATTTACACAAATACATGGTATGTATTTACTCTAATACACTTTAGAATCCTAATGGCACTACAACTAAGTGCTTGGTTAATAACTGAAAAGTCGATGATTCAAGTCCATGTAGTGACTCTGCATTAGAAAATCCTGGCACTCTGTTATCATCAAGGTTACAGACTAAGAAACCCTATGGAGAAATTCTACTTTGTGGCATGATATTGTTAGGCTTTAAAATCACCTTAATGACTCTTGTGCTGTTGTTTCCTATGGTTAATTCAATTCCCACTCAACAATGCCTAACAACAATTTATTTACAATCTGTTGTTGTTGTTAGGTGCCATTGAGTCGGTACTGACACATAGAGACCTTATGCACAGCAGAACGAAATACTGCCCAATCCTGGGCCAACCTCACTACTGTTGCCAAGCTTGAGTCCATCGATGCTGCAACTTGGCCAATCCATCTCATTGAGGTTCTTCCTCTTTTTCTCTGACCCTCCACCTTACCAAACATGACATCCTTCTCCAGTGATTGGTCCTTCCTGAAAATATATCCGAAGTATGAGAGACAAAGTTTGGTCATCTTAGCCTCTAAGGAGCACTCTGGCTGTACTTCTTCCAACATAGATCT